GCTCACACATTTTGTCTTAGCTCAGGAAGGATGGCTCCAGAGCAAACTAACTTATGCAGTGGCCAAATTGCTCACTCACAACTTTAATTCCAGTAGTTCACAGAGTAGAATTTTTGCTCACAAGACTCCATTGCTTAGAGGGAGCATTGACTGCAAGCACCTTTGGAATTTTGAGGGAGGTGGTGGAGCCAAGAGGTGGAGCCAAACCCAAAATGGCTGCCTCAGGGGGCAGAGCTAAACAGAATACCTCCCTCCTCACACCTTCTGGGAAGAGGGAGATCCTGAAGGGGGAATGGAACCACACACTGACTAAGGAGAGCTGAGATACCTACCAGTCGTCATCCTCTAGTGGAAAACCTAGGGTTGCCAATCCCCAGTTGGGGACGGGATCCCATGGTTTGGAGGCCCTCCCCCCATTCAGGGTTATCAGAAAGCCAGAGGGGGGAATGTCTGCTGAGAGCTCCATTATACCCTATGGAGACTGGTCCCCATAGGGTATAATGGAGAATCAATCTGCAAGTATCTGGAGCTGGGGGAGGGGCTTTTTTTTTTTTTAGGTAGAATCTCCCAAGTTTCAAAAAGTCTGGACCAGGAGGTCCAATCCTATGAGCCCCAAACGAAGGTGCCCCCATCCTCCATTGTTTCCAAATGGAGGGAAGGCATTTAAAAGGAACACCCTCCCTTGAAATGTGATGGCCAGAACTCCCTTTGGAGTTCAATCGTGGTCTTTCCTCTCCTCTCCCGGAGGCTCCTGGAAAGTCCCCCATCAGCCTGTCAGCCTCACCTGGCAATCCTAAATGGTACCACTGTGTGTGGCTTGGGTGGAGAATGAGTTGAAAGCAACCACTGTGTTAGAAGCAGATGGAATCACAGGAACCTTCTGGATGTGGGAGGTAGACCTGGAAGTGAAAGCACAGGATGTGACGTCACAGAAGTGGTGTCATATCCTTGCTCCTGGCTCCACCCCCAAAATCCCCAGATATTTACTGAGTCGGATCTGGCAACCCTAGGGAAACCCTTCATTTGAATGAGGGAAGCTCATAACAATCACAAGCTTTCTGAAAAGCTCAGGGGGTACCACAGGAAGTACTGGTGGGTGTCATGGCACGCATGGGCAGCACATTGGGGAACCCTGGTTTAGAGTGTGGGACTGAGAACTTGGATACCCAGGTTCGTGTGCCCATTCTGCCACCAAGCTCTCTCTCTCTCCACCCTTACCTACCTCACAGGGTTATTGCAATGGAACGGGGAAAGCAGGGCCATATCTGAGCTCCTCAGAGAAAGGGTGGGAATCAAACTGTCCTAAACAGAGTCTGCATCTGATTGAATGCTCTCCCTGTAGAATATTAAGCCTCTCCAGTGGCAAAATGGAATTCCTCAACCTGGCGCCGTGTTTGTTTGGGGCGAACCTCTCTCCAGCATCAAGAGATATGGTGTGCCCTCGGGTAGCTTCTCTGCCTGGGGCTCCAGAGACGATTCCTTGGCCCCAAGTGTCCATAAGGTGGTTTGCCAGTTTCCTTTCCCCTCCCAGCCCATCTTGCTGTTCGGCCGTTGCCTGTCGCTTGAATTGAAGTTTGCGCCTGGTTTTTGTGTGGAGCACAAAATGGAGATTGTTGATATTGTTCTGGTAGAACCGGGGCTATTTATTAAATGTTCGGTCACTTTCAAAGGGGATTTTGCATATTAGCTGAAGAGAAGTGGTATAGAGATGAAATAAAATAAAATAGTTTCTGAACTGTAAATAGCATTCTTGAGTCAGCAAAGAAGAGGGTGTCTAAAAGTGACTGCGTTTGAGTTGTAGGTTCATTTTAAAAAATAGTTACCAGTTTAATAATAGTGTTCCTTTTTTAATCTTTTAATCTAAAGGGATAAATTTGCGTTACATTTTATTTATTTATTTACTTCATTTATACCCAAGCCTGAACTCTCTCTAGAAGCTACAATGAGGAAACTGACTCGTGGACTCTGGGGAGTGAACTCTATGACCTCGCACCCGACTGAGGTCCCCGCCCTCCCCAAACTCTGCCCTCCCCAGCAATACTCCCTCTAAGTTGTGAGCAAAAATTCTACTTTGTGAGCCGCTGGCATTAAGTTTGTGAGTAGCGATTGGGCTACTGCATAAGTTAGTTTGCTCTGGAGCCATCCTTCCTGAGCTGAGACAAAAAGGTGTGAGCCGGAGGCTAAAAAACTGAGCTAGCTCACCCTAACTCAGCTTAGAGGGAACCCTGGTCACAACTATGAGAAGAGGAGAGTCACTGGAAAAGACAACTATGCTAGGGAAAGCTGAAGGCAGCAGGAAAAGGGGGAGACCCAACAGGAGCTGGATTGACTCCGTCAGGGAAGCTGCGGCCTCCAGTTTGCAAGGCCTGAGCAAGGCTGTGAAGGAGAGGATGATTTGGGAGTTGTTAACTGACTCGATGGCACTTCACCCGCAAACACCCACCCACCTTCCCTCCCAGTGGGGACCTAAACTGGCACACATTGTTCTTCTCTCCTCCGTTTTATCCTCACAACAGCCACCCTGTGAGGTAGGTTAGGCCAAGAGAGCGTGACTGGCCCACAGTCACCCAAGCAAGCTGCCATGGCAGAGGGGGATTCGAACCTGGGGTCTCCTAGATCCTAGCCTGATATTCTGTGTAAGTCTGTAACAGAGCCTCTCTTTTAGGGATTTTTTTAAAAAGCTGTTTCAAGATAGGGTTGATTTTTGAGTGGAGATGTTTCAGGGGAGCGGATAAAAATTATCCCACCTGCCAGTTTCCTGGGCCAAATTGTTTCCCCCAGGTTTAAACCTTGCAGTTGGTGTAGTGGTTAAGCGCGCGGCCTCTAATCTGAGAGACTCGGGTTTGAATCCCCACCCTTCCACTTGCAGCTGCTGGTGTGACCTTGGTCAAGCCATAGTTCCATCAGAGCTGTTCTCTCAATGACAGTTCTCTCAGAGCTCTCTCAGCCCCACCTACCTTACAGGGTGCCTGTTGTGGGGAGGGGAAGGGAAAGGAGATTGTAAATCGCTCTGAGAATCTGAGTGGGCGAGGTATAAATCCAATCTCCTCTTCTTCTTCTGGTTTACCTGAGCTTGCTCTGACAATAGAAGGGCGAGCAGGAACAGAGAAATGGTAGTTGGGGAAAGGGCACGTTTGCCAGCTTCAGGTGGGGCCTGGAGATCCCCCCGGAATTACAGCTCACCTCCAGACCACAGAGATCACTTCCCCAAGGAGAAAAGGGCTGCTCTGGGGAGTGAACTCTATGACCTCGCACCCGACTGAGGTCCCCGCCCTCCCTAAACTCTGCCCTCCCCAGCAATGCTCCCTCTAAGCTGTGGAGTCTTGTGAGCAAAAATTCCACTTTGTGAGCGACTGGCATTGAAGTTGTGAGCAAGCGATTTGGCTACTGCATAAATCAGTTTGCTCTGGAGCCATCCTTCCTGAGCGAAGACAAAAATTTGTGAACCGGAGGTTAAAAAACTATGAGCTGGCTCACACTAACTCAGCTTACAGGGAACACTGCTCCCCAGGCTCCATCCCCCCCCCCCCCCAAAAAAAAAATCTCCGGGTATTTCCTAACCCAGAGCTGGAAATCCTAGGAAAGGGTGGTGTGCCCCGACTCACCTCTCTATAGTCAAACGGGTTCTGTGGATACAGAGAGGAAGTTTTGATTTTGTTTTATTGTATAGGTATCTGTGTCTGGTTTCGCCTCAGCAATCGTACGTTGTTTTGGAAACCAAGGTTTAAAGGCAGCATATGGATACTCTTAAGTGAATCTCAATAAAATCTCCATGTTCCCTTAAATTGGCTTTAAAAACCGAAAACAAAAACATCCTGGCACTGGGAGGTCCTTGAACTGCATCTGCATTTAACCTGTTCATGATTGTTTCCCAAGCACCCAGAGTCGGTGCCCACATGGCAGGGCACGTGACCATCCTGTCTGCTGCCTGTTTGTTCTGAGGGCTTGCTTTTATTGATGTGCTGCTAAGAAATGAAAGATAGGGAGGGGGGAGATGGGGGGGAGACAGGTTGGGCATCGTGCTGGGATGAGCACCTCAATATCATGACCATTGTTTAAGTGTAGGTTTCGTTAAATGTTTGGTTACATTCTGTTCTGCGGCTTTGGATGCGTCCTCTGATCTCCTGCAGCTGGCATAATGCTCTGCTGTGATCTTTTGGGGTTTTGGATGGCTCCCTGCCCTCTGGCTTGCCTGGCAAAGCACCAGTCCCCCCCCCCCCCCGGGCAATCATTGAGTGCCTCGGCCTAGCAAGCTGTGACAGCAATTTACGTGGTGGCAGCCACCACACTTCCCTGTAATTCTAGAAGTAAAATTGACAGAACCATAGAACCACAGAGTTGGAAGGGGGCAGACGGGCCATCTAGTCCAACCCCCTGCTCAATGCAGGATCAGCCTAGAGCATCCCTGACAAGTGTTTGTCCAGCCGCCTGCCAGGGAGGGGGAGCTCACCACCTCACTAGGCAGCTGATTCCACTCTTGCACAACTCTTAATGTCAGAAAGTTTCCCCTGATATCCATCCGGTACCTTCCCGCCCTTAATGTAAACCCATTATTGCGAGTCCTCTCCTCTGCTGCCAACAGGAACCACTCCCTGCCCTTCCGATACTTCAAGAGAGCCATCCTGTCCCCCCTGCATCTCCTCTTCTCCAGACTGAACATTCCCAAATTCCTCAGCCTTTCCTCATATGGGTTGGTCTCCAGGCCCCCGATCTCCTCTGCACCCGCTCCATTCTGTCCACATCCTTTTGGAAGTGAGGCCTCTAGAACGGCATGCAATGGCCCCTTGGGTTAGGCAGTAAGTGGGAGAAATCCAGAGGACATTTAGCCAGCCAGTTTCCCAGCCCACTTGCTGCTTTGTGTGCTGGTTTTTCCGACACGCTGCCAGAATGGCTCCCGAGGAGCGGCTGCTGTGGTTTGGTTTTGTTGCATGGGACCGTTCCGAGACAGAAGGCTGTAGAGAAGTCTCACTTGGGCCGTGCTTCTTTTCTCACGACTCCAGGAGGACCTGCCACAAAGGGAAGCTGATGGAACTCGCCTCCATGGTGGTCCTGCCGCTGCTGTTGGGCGGCCTGGGCATCTACAGCGTCTTCCGGCTGCTGCAGCGGATGCGGGCCAAAGCCTACCTCAAAGACGCGGTGGTGGTGATCACTGGAGCCACTTCAGGCCTCGGGAAAGGTAGGTCTCGGAGGAGAGGAGGTAATTTGCAACGGATTCACTTCCTGGAAGTCACTCGTCTTGTTCTTATAAGTTCTTCCGACTCAGCCGGACTGCCCTCAGCCCAACTGAGTTGTCTCTACAATGGGCATTATTGGGTTTAACCCAACTGGGGCATTCATTTTCTTCCTTTCAGAAGCTGAGCTTGGGAAGCATTTTAACAAATTACAGAATTGAGAGAGACCATAAAGATTGATCACAGATAACGCCCTGACCTGGATAGCCCAGGCAGGTCCGATCTGGTCAGATCTCGGAAGCTAAGCAGGGTCGACTCTGGCAAGTACTTGGATGGGAGACCTCCATGGAATACCAGAGGTGGGAGGTGGGGGCAGGCTTTATTCAGCCACCTCTGTGACTATCCTCCAGGCCCCCAGTAAGGGTCAGTCACCAGAGGTTGCCACGACTTCCAGGGGCACACACACATAAATACAAAAATACCACCACCAACAACAACAACAAAAGTTACAGATATAGGAAACGGAGGCTGTGGGGGACCTGCTCAGAACCTGCCCACGAGCGGAAACTCCATTTCCTGGCTGCTAAAGCCATGGAAGGCCTCAGTAATTTTTTTCCTTTTCTTTCCCCCCTTTTTCTCCCAAAGAAAAAGCACACAATACCTCCTAAGCCTTCATGGTCGTCTCCTTAATTCCAAGCTCTTGGCCACAGGCGTGAGGACTAGAAATATGCATCTTCAGTTTTGCAGGCTCAAAGGTCGAGAGTTTCAGGATGTGCTCTCCCATGGCAGGCGTTAACTGGAAGTCACTTTGCCTACAATAAGTGCTTTATCGGGTAGCTCTCAAGGGACCGGACATCCCTTCCTCCCCCCCCCCCCAGCTCGTGGGTGACTGAGGGCTGGTATAGCAGCTTAAAAGGGACCCCCTGCAGTAGGGGCTAGAATTTTTGGAGCAGAAAGGACCCAGGTTCAAATCCCATAAAGGTAACTGGGTCCTGTTGAGCAAGTCACATATTTTCCTCCTCTCAGCATAACGCACCTCAGATGACGAGGACAAAAAAAATGGGACTGCAACCCCATTAGGCTACCCTGGGCTCTTGGTTTTGCTTTCTTACCCAGCCGTAGCTCACCGGCGGATCCTCTGAACTACAAAACGAAATGCAAAACCGAGCTGGAAAAGGCGCACCAAACATCTGTCTAGAGCAGGGGTGTCAAACATGTGGCCCGGGGGCCGGATCAGGCCCCCGGAGGGCTTCCATCAGGCACGCAGTGGAACTGGCCATCTCGTGCTTCCAGTTCTGCTGTTGCTGTTGCATCATAGCTTGCTTCACCAGACTCAGCCATTTCATGTTTTAACCTGGATCCTAGAATCAGAACTCTGCGCGTGAGATTTCTGTGGTGAATGTTGATAAATCAAAAGTAGGTTTGTAGCTTACAGAGTTATTGTTTTAAGCATGTTTTTATTTTAAGTAAAAAAAAAATCTATATGTCCACTGCCTGGCATTACATTTTATGACACACAAGGCCCGGCCCAACAAAGTCTCATTTATGTCAGATCTGTCCCTCATAACAAATGAGTTCAACACCTCTGGTCTAGAGGATAAAAAGAGTCTATTTGGTACCACTTCTAGACGGCTTTGCATTATATCCTCAAATCCCGTGTATCCCTCCGCGCAGCCTAGGAAAGGCGGATGCCAGCCGTCTTCTGACACGCTGTCCTTTCTCTTTACCGCCTCCGCTACCAAGAATGTGCCAAAGCTTTCCACGCTGCTGGGTCGAAACTGGTGCTGTGCGGTAGGAACGGCGAGCGGCTGCAGGAGCTGTTGCGGGAGCTCTCTGACACGGGCGGTCACCCCAAGAACGTAAGAATGGGCGAGAGGGGCTAAAGTGGCAGAGCTGATGGGGGAGAGGGGGCTGGAGGTGAGCTGTCCACGTGGAAGGCTCTGAGTTCAAATCTGCCACTTCCAGTTTGAAAAGGGGACCTGAGGAGAACCTCTACCTGCTGGAGGAGGTGCTGCAGGGCTCCCACTTTTTAAAATATAAAACTATCTAAATGTGTACATACATAGAGCAGATAAACAGTCCCAGCCAGTGTGGGAAATGTCCAACTATCACCAATAAATGTTGTCCCTCCCCTAAAGGAAACGGTAAACGCTTGTGATAGCCGCTTAATTGTGTGTCCAAGAAGGAAGCACTTCCTTTATTTCCTTCTTTGTTGTCCTGAGCCCTCCTGCCGATCCATTTTACTAAGTGACTCCCAAATTCTCCTATTATAGGGGAAAGTGAAGAACTTCCCCTTGCGCCACACATCAGTTTTCTAGAACGTCTTCAAGCAAGTCCTGGACATTTTCCTTGTCTCTTGACTTGCTTATGAGCACCCATGAAGACAGATCCAGGTGTGTAGCCTTGTTGGTCTGAAGCAACAGAACAAAGTTTGAGTCCAGTGGCACCTTTAAGACCAACAAAGTTTAATTCTGGGTAGAAGCTTTCACGTGCACGCACACTTCAGTAGCACATACAAAAGCTTATGTTTTATGGGCACCCAGTGATCATGCAGCTGAGCAGGGATTTCCCTAATCCAAATTGGTCTCCGTCGGTTCTCTCAGACCTCTTCTGATAACACGTGCTCTCTGTCTGTTTTAAAATACAGCCCCATAACCATCACACCGTGACCTTTGACCTCTCAGACACCAAAGCTGTGGTCAGCGCCGCAGAGGAGATCTTGGAAGCGCATGGGCCATGTGGACATCTTGGTCAACAATGCCGGGATCAGTTATCGAGGCACCATAGCGGACACGGTGGTGGAGGTGGACCGGAAAGTAATGGAAACCAATTACTTTGGCCCCATTGCGTTGACAAAAGGTAAAAACATAAGAGAATATATATACATACAAATACATTTATTACGTTCGACTCGTACTTGTGTACTATTGAAGTACAAAACATTCTATAATGAAAAACAACAATCTCTTGTCAGAGCAATACAAACTGTAGAACAAGGGAGAGTAAAAAATGTCCAGTGAAACTTTCCAGATCTGTGTAAATAGATCACGAGGTCCTGGATGTATTACGTCCTTCGTTGCGTCCTAAAAGACTTCATCAGATCAGTAAGATACAGTCAATATGTAAAACCACATCAATAAGTGTATATCTTACTGACAAATATATCATCTTACCATCTCTCTCCACAAGTACAAAAACTGTAAAGCTTCTCCACATCAGTTCATTCTAATTGGAAGCCACTGTAAGAAACAGAGCTATCTTTTCATAATCCCTAAAAGTTACCTTTTCTTTCCATTCTTATTTTATAATTGTATTATATCGTTTACACTCACCTAGGCCCCGGTCACACGGACACACGGATATCGCGGGGAGGAGGCGTGGCTGTTTGCCCCACAGCGAAATTACACGCGACTGTGCGATCAGGCATCCCCTCATGGTCCCGTTGAGGTCCCATGGTTAGGGGGGAGGTGCCGATCACACGACGGGGTTGTGGGTTTTTAAAAATTGAACCGGAAGTATGCGCATGCCCCATTGGGTGCTTGTGCGCATCCCTGGAGACTTCGAAAAAAACCCCACCTTTTCGCAATGGGGCATGGGCGGGCACCGGATACCACCGGAAACGCGATCAGACGCCCGCCCTTGCCCCGCGGTTTCCGGAAACTAGTACCTCCGAGGTACTAGTTTTTAACTACGCATCTTCGGCGGGAAGCCTCGGGTTCGCCACGGGAGCTCTACGCTTCCCAGATGTGGCAGTGAGATCGCGCCCAGAAAATCCGCCTATCTTCCGTCACAGTAGCGTGGCTACTGCTCCGTGTGACCGCAGCCCTAGAAGTTTTTACAAAGCGGGCATGTAGCTTAATGTTTTTAGTAGGAGGAAAATCTGCCGTCCAAAGTAAGAGTCGCTAACATAAGAGAAGCCGTGTCGGACCGGGCCAGTGGCCCTCCGCCATGCCAACACATTGTGGTTTTTTGCTTCAGTCAGACAAGATTGTGAAGAGGCTTCCTGAAAAGAAAACCAAAATAAAGGTGCGGGGGACTAACCCCACAGGAGTCAGAGGTAATGTCCAGCTTCCAGGACGGAATAAATTACGCAGTTCAGTTTCCATGTCTTGGGGAAAGGATTCCTCTTCTTTGGAGAGGAATGGAAATGGATCAGGACAATGAGACTGGGTTAAAGCAAGGCCCTTGGGGGAAGAAACGAGAACCAGGTGCCTGGCTGACTCTCCTAACTGTGCTCCTGCTGCCTTTCTCTCTCTTCTTAGCCCTCCTGCCCTCGATGATCAAGAGGAGGCAAGGACACATCGTGGCCATCAGCAGCATCCAGGGCAAAATTGCCATCCCCTTCCGCTCTGCCTGTAAGTCCAACTGCATGAGGCTTAGGGGAGGTAGCGACAGTAACAGTTTTCGCATCCCGTTGGCTTCAGAAGTGCAACACGGGCACAACCTGCAGCGACAGGGTCCCAGACCTCCAGATGTGGCAGCGTACAGTGCTTAGGGGAAGCAAACCTACACACGCTTCTGGCTTACACAGACCTCCGGCCCTGGGTGGGAAGCTTCATTTTCCATGTCTTATGGCAAGCAGAGCCTGCAGGGATCAGTGCAGGGCCTTCTACGGGGCCACCCGTAGTCACACAAGCAGCTGTTGAGGACAAGTGTTTTTAGAGGTGCCAACAATGAAGCATCCTGTTTGGAAACAGAGGCCTGGCATTTTGTGTTACTTCTGGAAGGGGTCCCGTGAGAAACTCTCCGTGGCAACCTGCCGCTGCTTGGGCTGGAAAAAAACATTGCGAGGACCATTGGAGACCTATCTCTGTACACAGAAAAGTCAGCTTTTAGGCTGATCAAGCAAAAACTGGTTGACATTGAGAGCCAGGTTCTTGAGAGCCGTGCAAAAAGTAGATGCTCACCCCTCAATTTGGGGCTTTTACCTTTTGGGCGTAGGGCTGAGTATCTAACTTGTTTAATGAACCCGGGACAATGCAGAGTATATATGTTAGCCAGGTTTAATGTGTTGCCATCAGCAGTATTTTATGGGAGATTCCAAAAAATCCCATTCGACAGTAGATTGTGTTCCTGCACTAAGCAGGAGATGGAAACTCTTGAACACGTGTTTCTTTCATGTACTTTCTACTTGGACCTGCGCCTTACATTCATTGAGCCATGGCTGAGAAAGTAGTCAGGGAAATCTGATAAATGTAAGATTTACTTTTTGCTGAAAACCCAGAATCATGCAATAATTGAAATTGTTGCAAAATTTCTGTATGAAGCTTCAAGAAGGCGTTCAGTATTCCTTGCAAATTGAGTCATATGTTATGCCAATAAAGGTCGATCGATTGGTGAGGACCGGCCTGTGATTTTCAATGGGGAGTGAATCTCTTTCACTCTGGCCATTTTCCTGCCCTTCCCCGCTGTGGGCTCAGACAGATCAGAGGAAGGTCACACATTCTCTCTCTCTCTGTAAAAATGCAGATTGCAGGCACAGCTCACCTCGGAAGCCATGCAGATAAGAGGTTTAACCTTTCAACCACCACTAGGTTTTTGCTTGAGGCCAGGCTTCTGTTTTGTTAAGTCTTTTATGGACACATTTTTTTAAAAAAATGCTCTGTTTCCTCATTTGAAATGTTAACTGCAAAACAGGCGAATCCCATTTCAGATAGCAAAACAGAGTGGTGGTTGAAGGGTGAAACCACCTTCCCTCTCTCCCTTCCCCGTATGGCCCCCAGTTGCCCACCTTGCATTTTAGGGAGAAAGGGAAACGCCTGATCTCCCAGACCCCAAAGAATAGTTCCAATACGATCGAAGGTTCCAGTTGTTTCCTTCACGTGACGTGGTTGGATTATTCTGAGATTGTTGAGCTATATGCTGGTTTAAGAATATGGTTTGAGTCTTTTTCCTGAATCATAAAATCATAGAGTTGGAAGGGGTCATATAGACCATCTAGTCCACCCCCCTGCCCAATGCAGGACCAGCCTAAAGTGTCTCTGAGAAATATTCATCCAGCCTTTTCTTGAAAGCTGTCAGTGAAGGGGAGCTAACCACCTCCCTAGGCAGCTGATTCCACCTTGGAACCACTCTGACCATGAAAAAGTTTTTCCTACTATCCAGCCGATACCTTTCTGCATGTAATTGACTGACTGTAAGGTTCTACCTTTGAAGAAGCTTGGGTGGAACGCAATAAGTGGCAGCTAGCCATCGTGTGAAGGAAACAACTGGAACCTTCGATCATATTGGAACTATTCTTCTAATTTTTCTTTAGCCATATCCTGAGTGAATGCCATGGATCAACAGCATATATATGAAGTTTTGACTTTTGTGGATTTTTGTATTATAATATTGTGAAACGACTCTTGATATTTCAGTAACATCCATACTACATACATTGTTTTTAAAGAATTGGAATCGTAATTTGAGGTTTATTATTTACACAGTTTTGTTATATTGATGTCTCTTTACTGTGTATCTCACGTGCTTGTGTTTTGATCTCCCAGGCCCTACAATTCTCAGTCTTCCTGTAGGTTACCCTCCACCACGCAAAAGCAGCCTACTCCTTAATGCAGAGTTCCAAATTCTTCCATCTGAATTCTGCAATCTGCTTGAATTGGATAGCTAATTCAGCATTCTCATTATTTAACTTCAGGACTCAGAAGTTCTCAGTACAGGTCTCTGATCCCTCCCAGTTCTCAAATTTAGAAGTATTCAGAGGAATTACAAGAGTCTATTCGCATTACTTGTTGTCAGGGGACATTTCGTAGAAAAAGAGGTGCAGGAGCTCATTAGCAGAGCTTATTAGCATAACTTATTTGCATATGCCACACACCCTGACATCACTGGAAGTGTGTCAGAAGGCAACACCCACTGCTCAGGCTCCAGTGGACTGTTTTGGATTGCTAGCTATTGGGGGGGGACGCACATATCTGCCCTCACAGAGGATGGAGAGGTGAAGGTGGGCCGGGGGTGGGCTCTGCAACTTACCTGGCTGCTGCTTGCCCCTCGTGGCCTGACTGAGGGCTGCTGGGAGCAGGGGGCAGGGCTTGTTACATGTGCCTGCCCCCTGGGCTGCTTACTCAGAGCTCCGCTCCTGTGTGCTCCCGCAGGAAATGATCCCTGCTTGTTGTCCCAGCTACAGTTGTGTTCTGTTAAAGTTTGTAATAAAATGTCTGCAGTTCGGCACAAATCCACACATTCCAAAGAAGAGCATGCTAGACTTGAGCTGAATCACACTTTGACCACTGGCTCCCTGAGCAGCTTAAAGCTGGAAACTGTTCATCTGTAAGATGGGAATAAAGGCCTACCTCACTGGCCTGACAAAATAACCATCGCAGAGAATCTTCTTCTATCCAGAGTTTGTTTTTCTTCCACTCTCCTGCTTAAGAGCCTTTTCTGTCCCCGCGTGCTCCATGAGAGCTTCAAGTTACAAAACTGTTTCTGTTCAGCGACTGACGGAGCTCACAACCTGCTCTCTGTTTTGCCAGACGCCGCCTCCAAGCACGCTACCCAAGCCTTTTTTGACTGCCTGCGAGCGGAAGTGGAGCAGTACGGTCTTGACGTGACGGTCGTGAGTCCTGGCTACATTCAGACAAACTTGTCACTGAACGCCATCACGGGAGACGGGTCCCAGTATGGAGGCAAGAATTAATTTTGCTCATGGAGATCATATGCATTTACTGCGATGTAGCAGGCAGGGCGGGGAATCATAAAGCTTATAAAACCTTAGCTCCGGTTCAGAAGTGATGGTATGTGAACCAGTCTGGAGCGGACCGGACATGCCTCTTGTCGTTCCCGGGTACCTGTATCCTGTTTTCAACATTAAAAATGACTTTTCTTCCCCTCCCCATCCCTGTTTAATCCTTGAACCGGAGCTTGGCTTTCTGATCTCCCATTCCCTGGAGCTGCTTGAAAGCTGTGAGAGGCTGCTTGTGGAAATAACAAGAGTTCTGCCTTCCACTCAAGGCCTTCCTTTTTATTCTTCGCAGTGATGGACAAGACCACCAGCCAAGGCCAGGGAGCCGCAGAGGTAGCTCAGGAGGTCCTCAGCGCCGTGGGGAAGAGGAAGGAGGAGGTCCTGGTTGCGGGGCTCACACCTTCAT